CCCCAAAACCCCAAAACCCCAAAACCCCAAAACCCCTTTAGAATTATAATTTTTGAAATCAATAATTGAATATTTTATTCAAATTTCCAATCCTTCGGGAGACAAAAACCTAGAGTTTAGAGAATTTAGACTTACTCTTATGGGGTTCTCTTTCTAATAGTCCCAAATCTTTTAGTTTCCTCATCTGCTCTATGTAAATATTCTTGTAATCCTCATCTAATTCAGTGCTAAATCTGTTTGTCTCAAGTCCTGATATATATTTTTCAAAGACATCAAACACAGGGTAATCTTTTTGTTGCAGCAGGAACAAGAAGTACCTAAAAGTTTATTTGGAAGGTTACATTAACTTGTTTTCCCTCTGTCTTGAATACTCTAACTCAGAAACCATATCAGCCTTCATCTGTGTTGCATAGGTCTTGAGGTCTTCATTCTCACTGAGTAATTCTTTAATCTCTTTGTATATCTTATTTCTCATCATAGTTTTCAATCAAATTCGAAGGTCTCTCAACTTCAAGTTTTTCTTTCTTGATTTTTTCAATTTCATTTATTTTACTTTTTATTGTTTCCTGAAGGGATGCAACTTGATCATCTATGGAATTAGTAGTGTTATACCCCTTGTGGCTAGTTCTACTTGGAATTTACTCAGTTGCTCTTTAAAGTCCATTATTTGCTTGTCTTTATCTTTCAGGACCTTTGAGAGTGCCTCATGTTTCTCCTCAATATTCATGATGTATGAATCATAACATTTGCTGATTAGGTCGAGAACTGGGGCGAACATCGTCTGAGACTCAGACAAGTTCTTTAATGCTGTCTCTGCAGCATTTCTGATCTCTATACAATCAAATTGGAGAGTTTACGTTCCTCTGGATCATGGTCTTCAGAGTTAGTCTGCTTTCTTTGTAAATAATTATTGTGGTCTCTTTCAAGCTTATCTTCGATTTCTTTTAATTCTTGCTTATTCATATGCTCTTCTCTAATTCTCTGTTCTTCCTCTTCGTCGAGCCAGTAACTCGGGCTGGTCGTGTTATGGATCTGCGTGGCCAGGGTATAATGAGGATCAATTGTGCGATATCCTCCATTATCTTGGCTTCCATTGTGGTCAGAGACTCTTTCTAAATACTTACGCAAGATATGGTTGTTCTTAATAGACTCAGAATGACCTAGGTCTGACTGTCTCTTCGAAGTAGTATGATGGGATTTGTTCTTGCCCTTCCTCCTTGTGCTTAGCTTGCTTTTTGACTTATTAATACTCCTATCTTTCTTAGGACACTGGTAGCCCCATCCACTATGTTTGCTCATCTGAGGTTTCTTAGTGAATAGTTTGCTCTTCTTCACGCTCAAATCTTTCTGCGAATATGTGCCTGCTTTCTTCAAGTTTTGCGCTGTTCTTCCAAGTTGCTTGCTCACCTTCTTGCTCATGTCTTTGAACTGGGTCATCATCGAAGAAGTTTTCAGTAGTTGAGTGTTGTTATTGATTGAAGCAGAAGTCGGATACATGGAAAATTGACTAGTTGGGATGCTAGAGAAAGGAGATTTGTTTCTAAGTTTAAGAGATTGGGTTACTTTTTCAATTTCCAGACTTTGCCTAGCTGGCTGGCTGATCCTGACAGTACTACTATAAGGGTATAAATAACATGAAATGATGTTTATGATAATGTGTTTACTTACATGGTGATCCACTTCCATATAAGATATTCCTGCTTGAGTCTCTTGATTTTTCATTCTTAATCTTGGTATTAGAAAATTGATGTTTGTATGATTTTCCTCCCTATGACTTTGTTAGAAATATGAAATGCTATCTAAACAGTCCCAAAGTTCTATATAGCTGAGACAGATGGCTTCAAAAAATTTAGTGTATAAATATCTCTTCTAAATTTACCAATGGAAAAAAATTGGATGAGATCCTAAGAAAAATCATTTCAGCTCATAATAACTCACCTCATAAATATTATCCAAGATTTCTTTCTTCAACCTATTCGGGGATTTCCTGCTGATCTTCTTTTGCGAGTAATCACTCTCCAGTTCTTTAATAGACTTGAGGTTATCATGAGGATTATTTACTGATGGAAAATGGTGGTGCCTATCTTCTAGACTTAATCGTCGAGGTTGCTTGGCCTTTGCGCTTCTCTTCATATAAGCATTGTTGTCTACATCTAAAAAAGATTAACCAGTTCCTAACTACTTTCTTTAGAGGTTCTTCTCTTACGTTTCTTCATCTTTCCGCTATCAGCCAAATTTTTGCTCAGACCTGAAGGAGTATTCTTCGCATGCTTGGACGGACTCTTTACATATGAATTCTTACTTGAGTTCTCCATCCTTCGTAACCTAGATTAATAGTTAACGCTAATACAAAGACCATAATGAATTTTTTATTAAATATACACCTACTTTTGTTTCTGAGTCAAGTCTCTCTGCCCGTTTATCATCCTGTACAGCTCTGTATTCGATCCAGTGTATGGCAAGGTAGTCATTTATATGAATAAATATTTTAAATTTAGGCTAGATGGCTGGGGTTTTGGGGTTTTGGGGTTTTGGGGTTTTGGGGTTTTGGGG